TTGCAAGCCAGAAGCCTTGCCTTTACCCTAACCTATAACCAACTTGTTAGATGTGTGTTCAGTCTCTACGTCCAGCCTCACCGGAACTCATCCATAGGGCATTCTACCTTTGCTCTACCAGGTGCTTTTCACCCATGGGCATATGACCAGGCCAGACCCCAGACTCATACCCTGACTATAAGCCTATCCATATCTACCAGATGTTAGCCTTTGCTGTAACCACATGGCCATTGCACCTCATGGTAACTCCTGGCCTTGTTCTCATGGCTTTATGCCCAATTTGGAATACTCACCATGGTGCCTAACTACAAACCTGGCCCATTCCCAGATCCTGCTGACCCAACTCACTTGGAATAATTCCTAGCCTTTTCCTTCTTGCTATAACATTTGGCCCTTCTCCCATGGGTATATGCCCCAGCCAGGCTCACACACATGACTTCCCTTAGTCCCACTCAAATCCCCAGGCATTGTGCAACTAGGCTTAGTCACATGGGGCTAGTCCCTCCCCTACTCACAGCAGCATAGAATGCCTTTTACGGAGGCTATAAGCCCAGTTCACACTCTAGGCCTGAATCCCACACACACTAAGCCTGTGTCTCCCGACTTTATCCCCATTTTGAACCACTGAGTGATCGTCCTTGGCTATATCCTCTTGCTTGCTCCCATGGCTATACGTCGTTTGAAGATGCTTGGCCTTCATCTATTCCCACAAACCTAGCCCACTCCATAAACCATTCCTCTGTCATTATCCCCGGGCCGAACACACCTGGAATTATCCCTGGTAGTTCCTTCTTGCTTTATCTGCTGGCCTTTTTCAAAATGCCATATATATATATATATATATATATACACACACCCATGCCACAGTCCAGCCTCCTACTCTGTCCTGATCCCTGCCCCAGCCCCTTGGTTATTGCCACCCCAGGTTTAATCACTTGGCCATCTCCCCATGTCCCCCACATAATAAGCCCAGTCTCTTGTGCTGCCTAAAGCTCTGTCTTCTAAACATTACCCTTTGCCTAAATCGCATGGTGACTGTGCCTGGCTATGTGCTCTGGCCTCACCCCCATTGACATATGTTCTCTCAATACCACTGGCCATTGCCTCCACTCACAGCCCTTTCCGGAAGTGGCACCTCTTTCTACAGACCCCTGACCAAATCCACATGGATGAGTCCGAGGACCATTCCTGATGTCTGTACCCAGTCCCATGGGCTGTGCCTAGCCCAGATTACAGACCTATAGTCCCTGATCAAATACCCCAGATTTTGCCCAACCAGCTTTTTTTTTTTTTTTAAAGAAAAGATGTTTTTTTTTCCAGTGTGTTATTATTACTCTTAGTATTTGAAGGGCAGAGTTACAAAACAGTGGGGGAGACAGAGAGAAACTTTCCATCCATTGGTTCACTCCCCAGATGACTGCATCAGCCTGGGCCAGGCTGAAGTCAGGAGCTTCCTCCAGGTCTCCCACGTGGGTGCAAGGGCTGAAGCACTTGGGTCATCCTCCGCTGCTTTCTCGAGCCATTAGCAGAGAGCTGGATGGGAAGTGGAGCAGCTGACACCTGAACTGCTGCCCACACAGGATGCCCGCATCACAGGCAGCAGCTTAACCTGCTTTGCCACAATGCTGGTCCCTCAACTAGTCCTAATCATTTATCCAATCATCCCGGGCTCTGTCTGTAGACCTGCTTCCTTGGGCTCTCTGCCTTCCCTGGCCCCTGGCCATTATCCCCAACCATTCACCTGGTCCTTCCCAGCTCTTATCCTCATTTACCCGGCGGCAAAACTTAAAATTATCTATTACCCTGGCCACAGTCATCTGCCCTAATGTCTTGGCCAATTCGCTGCTTACCCCAGCCATTCTCGCTCAGACTACTCACCTGCCTTTAATACCCTGACAGTTCCCATTTGGCTTCAGGTACTAGCCTTGCTCCCATGGCTACACAATATATGCAGGTCCCGGCCTCTTTATCCCAGACAGCTGGCCTTTACTCCAGCCCATACCACGCCCAATATTTCCCCACCCCATAATACCAAGACTCAACTGTAAGCCATTCTACCCTGGTTCCACCAATGGGCTTTCTGCCCATGGCCAGGTTCTCAGGCCAGAGTGTAGGCTCACACCCTACCTGGAAGTGTGCCACTATCTCCTAGGCGTTGCCCCTCTTCCATAACCATGTGCCCATTGCACCTGACATTGTCCCCATGACTATGTGTGTAATAAGGAACCCTGGTCCTTATCCCCCACACAGACCTGGCCTGTTCCTCAGTGCACTTCCTTGTCCATATCCCTCTAGCCATCATGCCTGCAATTATTCTGAGGCCATTCCCTCTTGCTGTATCCACTGATCTTATTCCTAAGGCCGTATGCTCAAGCCAGACCCTGACCCGTCACCTGCCTTGATCCATGCCCGAAATCCCCAAGGTTTGTGCACTTGGGCTGAATACCTGTCAGTTGAGCCTATCTTTAGCTTTTTGCCCTTGGCTATGTGCCCTGGTAAGCACCAGCCCCATATCCCACACATGCCATGCTTATACCTCCAGACCTCCCCTATATGCTTGTATCACCTATTGGTTTTGCTTGGCTGTATCCTCTGGCCTTGCTCTATGGCTATATGCCATGTCAAGACCCTGTAGTTTTCCTGAAGTAGACATCTGGCCATTAACCTTGCTTTTTCCCTAGCCCTTTACCAAGCTGTCTAGCCACAGAAGTCACCTTTAGTCCATTCTACCCTTGGTCAATCAAGGGGCTGAATGCACAAAGCTACATCCTTCAGCCAGACCCAGGTCCATACCCTGCTTCTCAGCCTATCCATGTGTCCAAGGCATTACCCTTCTGCCCTAGTCACCTGGCCATTGTACCAGGCAACATCCCCTGGTCTTGTTCCCATGAATATATGCCCTATCAGGAGCTTGTAATTGTCCCAGTGTCGGACCTGGCTCATTTCTCAGTGCATACCCCTCCCTGTGTGGTTTTGGCTAGGACACATGAAATAATACATGTTCCTTTCCCTCTTATTACATGCACTGGCCTTACTCCCATGGCTGTGCATCTAGGCCAGACCAAAGATGTGTACCCTGCTCTGACTGTGATCTAAATACCCTTGGCCTGGCAAATGTAGGTTTAGTCCTCTAGCTATTTCACCCACCATACCCCTCCCCAAGCTGCATGCCCCTGCTTTCTGCTCATGTCTCTAGGTGAGGTCCAGACCCTAGGCTGTCACCCTGCACATAACCCTGTTCACGTGTTTGTCTAAACCACCGGGCACTTTTGCCTGTGTGTACCCTCTGACCTTATTCTGGTGGTTGTATGCTCTATCAAGACCCCTGGCAGTTATGTCTGTCTACAGATCTGGCCCTTTCCTGAGCCCATATCCCTGCCCATGGACTCCTGACCAAATCCACCTGGATTTATCCTTTAGCTTACTCCCCCTATCCATTCCCCCAGGCCTTACTTAAATGTCCTAGTGCTCGGGCTAGACTACATACAGATCCATCGTCCTTTACCAAATACCCTTGGTTTTTGCTAACTAGTCTTAGTCACTGGGCCATTCCTCTCCAGGCTGTTTATGCTGGATTTCCTACCAGGGTATGCCTTTCTGTGAAAGCTGGCCATATCCCCACCCATTCACCTGGTCCTTCCTCAGCCGTCAGCTCTTCTTATACCAATGGCAAAATTCACATCTGGTGTTACCTCTGTTTACCACCCTGGCTGTACACGTTGGCTTTAGTCTCATCACCTTGTACACTGGCCAGGGCAGATCACTTTCTCGAATCATGCTCCTGCATTTACCTGTCTCCCTCTAGAAGGCTGGCACTTCCCATCTGCTTTAGCCAATGCCCTTGCTCCTGTGGCTATCTGCCATGTGAAGTCCCTGGCCCTTTTCCTGTCTTAGACATCTGGCTCTTCCCTGGCTCATATACCAGCCTATTGTCCACCTGGTCACCTCACCACAATTCATTTATGTGCCAGTGTAACCTTGCTCTACCAGGGAGCTTTTCGTCCATGATGATATGCCCAGCCTAAGCCTCCAGTCCAAACCCCATCTGTGGCCGGCGCCGCGGCTCACTAGGCTAATCCTCCACCTAGCGGCGCCAGCACACCGGGTTCTAGTCCCGGTTGGGGTGCCGGATTCTGTCCCGGTTGCCCCTCTTCCAGGCCAGCCCTCTGCTGTGGCCAGGGAGTGCAGTGGAGGATGGCCCAGGTGCTTGGGCCCTGCACCCCATGGGAGACCAGGAAAAGCACCTGGCTCCTGGCTCCTGCCATCTGATCAGCGCGGTGCACCGGCCGCAGCGCGCCGGCCGCGGCGGCCATTGGAGGGTGAACCAACGGCAAAGGAAGACCTTTCTCTCTGTCTCTCTCTCTCTCTCACTGTCCACTCTGCCTGTCAAAAAAAAAAAATCTGTTAGACTTCCAATACCTCCCAGACGTTAGCCCACTGCCATAACCAGTGGCCACTGGACCAGCTGTATATCCTGGACTCCTTCTCTAGACTGTACGCACTTTCAGAAAGCCTGGGCATTATCGCCAACCACAGACCTGGCCCATTCCTTAGTGCCTACCCCTACCCCTACCCCTATCCCACTGGCCAATCACAGAGGCAATGATTTCCAACCCCTTCCTTTTTCATTTCCCCACTGGCCTTATTCTCTTGGCCATATCCTACAACCAGCCTCAATCCCTGCCCAAATCCCCTAGGAATTGCAAACATAGACTGTATCACCTGGACGCCCCTCCCCCCAGCTCCCCTAGCCATTTCACTGGCCTTCAGCCCCTGGCTATAAGCCCAGTCCAGACCCCGTACTGGTATCTTCCTCATACCCAGCCTATATCTCCCTGACCTTACTCTTTTGCTTAAACTGGCCACTGTGCTAGCCTGTACCCTTTGGCCCTGCTCCCATGGCTTTACGCTGTATCTCAACCCCTGTCCACACACAGACATGCCCTTTCCACAGCCCATACCCCTGCCAAAACAGACCTGGAATTATCCCTAGGTATTTACCTTTGCTGTATCCACTGGCCTTATTTCCATGGCTATATATGTCCAGGTGAAACCCCAGACCCAGCCCCCACCCTAACTGAGGTCCGAATCCCCTAGGCAGGTGTACCTAGGCTTAATCAGCTGACCATCCTCCCATACCCCCAATTCCCAGTATTATTCAGCGGCCTTTGGTCCTGACTATTAGCCCAGGTCAGAGTCCAGCCCCATATATCCTGCCCATATATCCCAACACCTGTATGTTTGAGCCACCAGGTAACTGTGCTTGTCTGTGTTTTCTGGCCTTGTTCCCATCAAGACCCCTAACCTGGCCATTATCCCCACCCACAGACATGGTCCATTCCCCAATGCACACGCTTGCCTGTGTCCTACTGGCCAAAACATAGAATTAACCCTAGACTTTTCTCTTTTGCTGTATCCACTAGCCTCACCCACATGGCCAGACCCAACCACCCTGGCTATATATACCCTGGCCCCAGTCACATGACCACATGTCCTGGCAAGTTACAGCCACCTCTCCACCCCATATGTATTTGGATTTACGCACTTTCCTTTTGTACTCTGACCATTAACATCTGCACGTGGCCTTGCTCGCATGGCCATGTATTACGTCAAGCTCCTGGCCTTTTTCCAACCCAGACACCTGTTCTTTACCCTGGTCCCTACTCTAGCCTATTATCCACCCATCCAGCCACACCACAATTCATCCATTGGTCATTCCATACAGGTCTTTAGACCCATAGCCATATACCCAGGCCCATACATCCCCCACTAAGGCTTACCATATTTCCCAGGCTTCACCCCTCTGCCATAACCACCTGGCCATTGCACCTTATTGACTCTGCTGGCTTCATTCCCATGGCCGTGTGCCTTATCAGGAAACCTGACTGTTATCTGCAACCACAGATCTGGCCCACTGTTCAGTGTATACCCTTGTCCATATCCCAGTAGCAAAACAGCTGGAAAATCTCAACACCTTTTTGTGTTCTGTACCCACTGGACTTATCCCCATAGCTATTTGCTCAGTCCAGATCCAGACCCATAGACTCTCTGCCTGTTTCATTTTTTAAAATTTATTTATTTGTTTGAAAGTCAGAGTTCCTGAAAGAGAAGGAGAGACACACAGAGAGAGCGAGATCTTCCATCCACTAGTTCACTCCCCAGATGGCTGCAAACTCCAGGGCCGAGCCAGGCCAAAGCCAGGATCCAGGGGCTTCCTCCAGGTTTCCAGGTGAGTAGAGGGGCCCAGGCACTTGCACCATTTTCTGTTGCTTTTCCCAGGCCATCATCAGGGAGCTGGATTGGAAGTGGAGCAGCTGGGACTCAAACCAGCACCCATATGTGATGATGGCATTCCAGGTGGTGACTTTACCCTTAATGCCACATTGCTGGCCCTTCCTCCCTGCATAGACCCTCTCAATCACTACCAAAATCCATCAAGTATTGTGGATTTAATTATCTGCTTCGTTTCCTGGCTTTTTACATAGGCAGACATGCATGCACACACACATACACAACCTTAGCTGTATTTACTACCTTTAGCCCATGGCTATAAGCTCTGTTCATATCTGATATCCCCAACATACCCAGCTCAATCTTCAAGACTTTACCCCATTTCTTCATCTACCAGGTACTTGTGCTTGTCCGTATGTTCTGGCCTGTTCCCCTGGCTACTTGCCTTGGCCATTGTCCCCACCCACAGACCTTACCCTTTCTAGAGTCCCTACCTCTGTCCATATGCCCCTTGACAAAGGCTCATGGAATTATCCCTCAGCCTTTCCATCTTGTTGGTCTTTCTGGACTTATTTCCATGTATATGCCCAGGCCAGACCCCAGACCCATACCCCAGCCCAATTGATATGAAATATACTAGGCGTTAGGAATGTAGGCTTAATCACTTGGCCATCTCTCCCTAACCCTGAATTGTACCCACTGGCCTTCTGCCCATGGCTCCTGGACCAGTCTGGACCCCAACCCCTCACCTTGTACCTTGCACATAACTGTGTCTGTATCTTCCAGACCTCACTGCTTTGGTGATTATGCCTGGGTATATCCTCTGTGCTTGTTTGTTGTTCTTGTGACCATATGCCCTATCAAGAGCCCTAGCCATTTCTCCTACCCAAAGAATTGATCTTATTTAAATCAATACTCCTGCCCCTAGATCCCTGACCAAGTCCACCTGGATTTATCCTTAGGCTGTCTCCCCATCTGTATCCACTGGACTGGCTCACAGTGCAATATGCTTTGGGCAGCTTCTCAGCCCTTCCCCGACCCTTCCATACCTCAGTGGCAATAATCCTATCTGCAGTTTTCTATCTTGACTACGTCCCTGGCTGTTCTTCCTGGCCTTAGTCACTTGACTTTATAGCATGGCTTGTTGTGAGCCCTATGTGGCCCATACCCATCAGGATTTACTCACCTGCCTTAAGCCCCTGGCCATTTCCCTCTGGCTATAGCCAACAGCATTTTCACATGCCATTTTCACGTGCCATTTTCACGTGCCCTCTCGCGATCCGTGTCCTTTTCTGTATCTAGAGACCAGGCCCTCACCCTAGTGCATGCCCCATGCCCTTACCCACCTGGCCCACCAATTCAGGACTTGCCCATATGCCATTCTCCCATATTCTGAACCCAGTGGCCTTTCACCTATGGCCATGTGTCAAGGCCAGATCTAAACTCCATACCTTGCTCCAAACCTGCTCACCTCTCCCAGGAGTTAGCCCTTAACCATTTTGCCATAGTGCCTGCCTGAGTGTTCTCCCAGTTCCCATGGCTAGAGGCCCTTTCAGTACCCCTGGCCATTTTGTTGCCATCCTACAGCCACTCACAGACCTGGTCCTTTTCCTTGCTTGTACCCTTGCCCATGACCCTGTGCCTAAACACATCTGAAAGGTATCCCTAGGCCTTGTCCCCTTTGCTAAACCCTCAGCTGTCACTCCAGTGGCCACGTGCCCATACCAGTCTCCAGACCCATTTGTTGCCCTGATTCCTTCCCAGGTCCCTCATGTTTTGCCAAACTTGTCTTAACCATTTGATTATTCCTCCCTTAGTTGTATCCACTGGCCTTGCTTCTAGGACTATGTGCCTTCATGAGACCCTTGGCCATTATCCCCGCCTGTTCACCTGGCCCTTTTCCCACGCCCACCCTGCATACCCCTGTGGGCAAAACACACGTGGATCTCTTCCCCTGTTGCTGTCTCCAGTAGCCTGAGTTACATGACCTATGTGCAGGCCAGTTGCCAGCCCTTTAACCCCCACTGACTTGTGTCAGGGCTTCCCCACCTCCCCCTAATATCCCAGCCGTTCCAGTCTGGGCTTAGGCACTGGCTTTACCTCTATGGTTTTATTCCCTGTGACGTCCCTTGGCCCATTCCCCACCCTGAGACCTCTTCTGTACCACAGTTCATATCCCCCCAGGCAACCCCACCTGGACTTATTCCTAGGATATTTTCTGGTGTTCTACCTTGTCACCTATGGCCTTGGCTGTATGCCCAGGCCAAATGACAGGCACATTGCCCACCAATAGCCTTGCTATATGTCCCATGCATAGCCACCTGCTTTAAGTACATGTATCTATTGGCCTTGCTACCTTGACTATATTCTCTATTGAGACTTCTTGACACCATCACCACCCATAGACCTGACCCTGGCCTTTGCCTTTTTGCCTGCACTTTCCCCTTCCCCAGAGGCCATCTCCCTGTGCTCTAACCCTATTCCACCTTATTCCCATGGCCTCACCTCCTCGCTGACCCCAGGTCCATGTGCTGCCCTCATCTCCCTGGCTTTAACCATTTGCCTCATCTCCCTGGGCATTGCACATGGCTGTATCCACTGGCATTTCTCATATGAGAATATACCCTATCAAGACCCATGGCCTGGGGACTGACACTGTGGCATAGAAGGTTAAGCCTCCCTACCGTGCTGGCACCCCATATGGGTGCTAGTTCGAGTCCTGGCTGCTCCGTTTCTGATCCAGCTCCCTGCAACTGCACCTAGGAAAGCAATGGAAAATGGCCCAAGTCCTTGGGCCCCTGCACCCATGTGGGAGACCTGGATGAAGCTCCTGGCTCCTGGCTTCAGCCTGGCCCAGCCCTGACCATTGCAGCCATTTAGAGCAAACCAGCAGATTAAAAAAAATCTCTCTTTAAAAAAAATTCTTCACTCACACCAAGAGACCTCTCTGTTAATCCAGCCCTTAAGACCACTCATGTAACTTGGGCCAAATACAAATTGTAACTAGACAATGCCTCCTTTTCTGGACTCACTGACCTTGCTGCCATGGCCACATGCCCAGAGGCATCTGTAAGCCCATACTCCAGCCCTTATCTCTGCCCCCAAACCCTTGTGTGCTGGAATTGTCCATGGAGAATTACCTATGGCCCCTCACTCCTTGTTCTACCTGGTGGGTTGACACCCCTGGCCATATCCTTTTTTTCAAATACATCTGGACTTAGTTATTTGGATTTATTCTTGGCTTATTCTTTACATTTATGTTATTCATATTATTCTGTATTTTTTTTTTATTTATTTGACAGAGTTAGACAGTGAGAGACAGACAGAGAGAAAGGTCTTTTTTCTGTTGGTTCACCCCCACCCCCACCCCACCCCCCAATATGGCCACTACGGCTGGAACTACACTGATCTGAAGCCAGGAGCCAGGTGCTTTCTCCTGGTCTCCCATGCGGGTGCAGGGGCCCAAGGACCTGGGCCATCCTCCACTGCACTCCCAGGCCACAGCAGAGAGCTGGACTGGAAGAGGAGCAACCAGGACTAGAACCCGGCACCCATATGGGATGCCGGCGACTCAAGCGGAGGATTAACCAAGTGAGCCACAGCGCCGGCCCCTTTTTTTTTTTCTTATTGTTTTATTTATTTATTTGAAAGTCAGAGTTACACAGAGAGAGGAGGCAGAGAGAGAGAGAGAGAGAGAGAGAGAGAGAGAGAGGGAGAGAGGTCTTCTATCCGCTGGTTCACTCCCCAATCGGCCACAACGGCTGGAGCTACGCCAATCCGAAGCCGGGAGCCAGGAGCTTCTTCCGGGTCTCCCATGTGAGTGTAGGGGCCCAAGGACTTGTGCCATCTTCTACTGCTTTCCCAGGCCATAGCAGAGAGCCGGACAGGAGTGGAGCATCCGGGTCTCAAACTGGTGCCTATATGGGATGCTGGCGCTTCAGGCCAGGGTGTTAACCTGCTGCACCACAGTGCCAGCCCCTGTATATTCTTTTTATAACCTTCTTAGACTACACATAGGTCTTTCTTTATCCACCTGGCTTTGCCTATCTCAGCTGCCTATGTGGATTAAACCTTATCCTAATACAAAGCAGTTATTTGCCAGCTTGATTTATTCTGCTTGGCTTGACTTGCTAATTGACCTTCTTGTACTTAGCCATACAGCCTACCACCCTGGCCATTCTCCTACACTTTCTGCTGCTGGCCTTAGGTTTCACTCAACATACTTAACCCTGCCAGCTTTATCCTGTTAGCCCTAAGTTCCTTGCCATGTGCTCGTATTATAGTGTATATTATGTAATTATCTTGACAGGCAGAGTGGACAGTGAGAGAGAGAGAGACAGAGAGAAAGGTCTTCCATTGCCGTTGGTTCACCCTCCAATGGCCACCATGGCCGGCGCACCGCACTGATCCGATGGCAGGAGCCAGGTGCTTATCCTGGTCTCCCATGGGGTGCAGGGCCCAAGTACTTGGGCCATCCTCCACTGCACTCCCTGGCCACAGCAGAGAGCTGGCCTGGAAGAGGGGCAACCGGGACAGAATCCGGTGCCCCGACCGGGACTAGAACCCGGTGTGCCGGCGCTGCTAGGCAGAGGATTAACCTAGTGAGCCGCGGCACTGGCCGCCATGTGCTCTTGGTGTTAACTACATAGTATTCCTACCTGGCATTGATTTATTGGCCTTAAGCCCATTGCCTTATCTCACCTCAATTGACCCCATGACCATATTCTGGCTCTGCACCCCTGCCATAAGCCCTGCCTTATTTCTCTGGCTTCATCCTCATGACCTTAAACACTTGTCCTTGCCAATTTGGTGTTAGCCACCTAGTTTTACTCATATCTACTTAGTCTGCAGGCCTTACCTGTCAGGCCATATCCCCTTGCTGTGCCTCTCAGTGTTAATTATATGGCCTTACACTCCTGGGCATAGCTTGTATTGGCCTGAAACTTGGATCTTCTCCTGGTCACATCAGATGGGGAGCGCTCACCCTATCGTAGAGTCCGCATCTTGGTCCCTGACTGTGCCCGTCCCCACCATTATCTTTGCACCCAGGCACACTTTCCCCTTCTCTGACCCTGATTTGGGGCTGTACTGGCTATGGTGTGGCCAGGATGTTCTCATTGCAAGTTGCATCACAATCACTCCAGCATGGACCAGTGTGTTTTCTTCTAACACTGCTGATGTAACCCTTGATGGCGACATCCTGGGAGTCACCTGGATCTCATCCCTCAAAGCTGGGAGCAGGAAAGTACAGGGCCCCTGTCCAAGCGCCCTTTGTTCCCCCCCTCTTCATGCAGGCTGGCTCACCCTTGCTTTGTATGACAGGAGGCCTGAATTGTCAGTATGTAGTTACCTTCACCCTCCGCCTTGTGGGGTGTCAGGGGAGTTCAGGGACCATGTCTGTAGCACAGTGAGACTCAGAAAAAGGAAACTGTGGCTGAGGTAACCTGTTGCATCCCTCATTGGTGGTCTTTCTTGCCCAACGTGGATACAACTGTATGGTTGAGAGCTTGTGGGCAGCCCTCACTTTGCACTTGCTATGTAGGAAAGTAGAGCTTAGAAAATGTTCAAAAACTCGTGTGGCCTCCTAACTGGCAGCTGGTGCCTCTTGTCGCTCTTGACCATGAACTTCCATCTGGGTCACATCATCTGGACAGAATTCTCATACTGATTTCTTGTAGGAAAAGTGCATTTGGGTGTGTTAGTTGACTTTTATGCCCAGCGAGGTTAGACCACCTCTTGCACAGTGGATCTCAGATGTCCGAGCACTCTCCCCATGAGTATTGTTCAGGCTTCCAGCTCCTCCCAGGGGGCTGGGACCCTGTCACTACCTCTGGGGTTGGGTGAGTATGGACCTGTGGCAGAGAATGGGAAGAAAATGACAGGTTTTCCCTACTTTCCTGAAGATGGTGAAGGCGACCATGGCAGTCAGACTTCTTTAGTCCATTTACCCAGTCCTGTGTTCTCTCTGTGTTAACTTTGTGTTGCCTTCCATTTTGACATTGTATTGTGTTTTCTCCATCTTTAAAATCTTCCCAACTTCTTAAAAATTCATCACTGTTATTTATTTCAAAAGCAGAGGGAGCCGGCGCCGTGGCTCAAGAGGCTAATCCTCCACCTTGCGGCGCCGGCACACCGGGTTCTAGTCCCGGTCGAGGCACCGGATTCTGTCCCGGTTGCCCCTCTTCCAGGCCAGCTCTCTGCTATGGCCAGGGAGTGCAGTGGAGGATGGCCCAGGTGCTTGGGCCCTGCACCCCATGGGAGACCAGGAAAAGCACCTGGATCCTGGCTCCTGCCATCGGATCAGCGCGGTGCGCCGGCTGCAGCGGCGGCCATTGGAGGGTGAACCAACGGCAAAGGAAGACCTTTCTCTCTCTGTCTCTCTCTCTCACTGTCCACTCTGCCTGTCAAAAATAAAATAAAATAAAATTAAAAAAAAAAAAAAAAGCAGAGGGACGAACAGAAAGCAGGATCTCTCAGCCACTGGTTGACTCCCCTAATGCCTGCAACAGCCCGCAGTAGGTCAGGAGCCCAGAACTCCATCCAGGTCTCCCAGGTGGGTGTCAGGGACCCAAGACCTTGAGCCATCACCTGCTGCCAGCAAGGGTACACCTTAGCAGGAAGTTCAGTTGGAAGCAGAGGTGAGACTTAATATGCACTATGGAGCTCAGGCATCCCAAGCAGTGGCTCAACTTACTGTGCCACAACACGCTCCTGAATCTTCCATTTTTAGTGATAGTATGAGTTCTTTCCATCTTAACTGTCACCCCACAGGGTGCTGTTGTTGCCACTGGAAGTGACGAGAGCATCAGCCGTGCCCCTGGGCCTCTCTAGTTGGTGCTGGAGTTCATTGCCTCACACTGACCTTGCTTGCTGTGTTCTTGTGATTTTCCCTTCCAGAACCCTCTGCCAGGGATGGCTTGTCAACACAAGGTAACTGTTTGAGATGTGTGTCATTACTCTTGTTACTTCCTGCAGGGCCACCTAAGGGAAACCAGCGGAGAACCACTTACCTTCACAGACCAGAGTCTTAGTCTTGGAAAAGATGGGAGAACTTGTTTTGGAAATACAGGTACGTTCAGAAATGTATCAGGGTTGATGCTTTCATACCGTTATTGAAATGCCATCCTGTAACTGGAAACTTCCGTTGTAAGAACTTCCTTGTTGCAGGGCCTCTTCTGGGTCACTTGGTGGCCTCATATCACGCCTAGACAAGCCCACTGGTCATCTTGTTCGTTTTGATGCATATATTATATGCTCAAAGGTGGGTATTTCAAAAGCTCAGGAAATAAGGAGGAAAAAGGAGCTCACTGGTGTTGCTTCTACCCACAGAAGAGATGTGCTGCTCTTTGTCCAGCCTTGGAGGACCAAAGCCAGGCCTCATCTCCTTAACTTCCCAGCAACCGTCCCCACTGTCAGGGCTCGGAGAGTGACAGCCCCGTGTATGCTGCTGTGGTTCACTGCCCACTTTCCAATGAAAAGGAAGTGGGGAAACTTTAGAGGCTGCCTCAGAATTGAGAACGTCTTGTCCCTCGAGAAGGGGGGGGGGCTCCCTCGGTAATTCCCATTTGCCTGAAGACTGGAGCCACTATAGAGGAAAACAACCAGCTTTGAACTCGTCCCTCAGGTTTCATTAACAAATCTCATCACAGGAAAGAAGAACAAAGAATGGAGCCAAACCAAGACAAACGTCGGTCCCTGGTGGTCTGTGTTCTGGGCCCATTCAGCTTCCAAAAAGTGTCAGCTGCCAACCCTTGCCTGTGTGTTGGGCCTCTTCACTTCCCCTGAACTCTCCATGAATACCCCCAATGCTGCCTCCACCCCTTCCCCTGTAGCTTGTGAACAAGCGTGGATTACATAGATCTGTGTCTCTGGGGTTAGCGGGCCCTCGCCTCTCCCTGACACACGTTCATAAAATTGTATGGCCCTCCTCATGTTTGTCTGCCATCATTTCACTTCAGGGAGCCTGCGGAAAGCAGAGGAGTCGCTGTTTCCTGGACTCTGGGACAGCTCATATTCCCCTTGGGCCTTAGCTCGGTTCACAGGCCCTGTGCATCTAAACCCCCTCCCTGTGCTCCTGCCCCACCCTGTGCACCTCACCCCAGTCGGATCTGTTGATGGAAGTGTTGCTAAGTGTAATGGCTCCCTGAAGACTGCAAGTGTCCAATCAGACTGGACTGCATGGCAGTCATGTGCCACTCACTGAGGAGGGCAGATTGTGGGGCCGATCTCGCCCAAGCACTGTCAGCGTCCCCAGCTTACCTCGTGGGTAATGGATTCATCAGTGAGTATGTGTAAAGCACCCCCACAACTATACGTCAAGTGACTGTGTGAAGTGGGTAAGCTTCTGTGAACGTGTTAAGTGCACGTGCCTGCAGGGAGTGATGCTTTTACAAGGCTTCTATTCACTGCTGTTAGTACGGGTGTCATCATTATCTTCAAATCTCCCTTCCTCTGTAACCACCACCAATCTTTGGTTCCGGTTGTGTGGAGGGAAAGAAGAAATAAGCACGGTGCTAAGGGAGTTCCACTGTGGTTCCCCTTTCATGCCCAGCTCGAGGCAATGCTGAGGCTGAGGCAGAATGGGAGGTGGATCTTGGGCTGGGCTGTGGTCTGCGTGGTACGCTTCTGTGAGGCCGACTAGGAGAGATCCAGTGGGCCCAGGAGGTGGTGGTCAGCCTTGTGGCCTGGGGCATGAACGAGATGGCCTTTGTGTACTTGTGTACCCAGGAGGGTTGTGGTGGGATGTGGGGAGGCTTAGTAGAGAGGGTTGGGAAGACAAATGGAGGGGGCTCAGCTCGGGTGGAGGAGAACCTTGGTCAATACCACTGGAGAGGATGAGAGGTGTGGGGGATCGCAGGTCTGTGTGGACCTCAGAGAAATCCTGTGGAGCGAGTTGTGATCCAACATGGGGTTGCACCGGCTGGGAGTGAGGAAGTGCTTGGCGCATCCTTGGGCACCCTGATTTCTGGACATGGTTGGATAGTGTGGACTAAGTGGGTCTGTGCTTCCAGAAATTTCTGTGCTTGCTTCAGTGAACCTGTGTGTGAGGACCTTCTTGACGTGCAAGGGCAGGGGTGAGTCAGGGGCTGTGGGGCCAAGTCAGGGCTGGGGAGGACGTGGGTGGTACCCAAGTGACACGACTATTGGAGCCAAAATTGTGATTTGAGCTCACATTTAAATAAGTCTTTTTTTTTTTTTTTGACAGGCAGAGTGGACAGTGAGAGAGAGAGACAGAGAGAAAGGTCTTCCTTTTTTGCTGTTGGTTCACCCTCCAGTGGCCGCCGTGGCTGGTGCACTGCGGCCGGCGCACCACACTGATCTGAAGCAGGAGCCAGGTGCTTCTCCTGGTCTCCCATGGGGTGCAGGGCCCAAGCACTTGGGCCATCCTCCACTGCACTCCCGGGCATAGCAGAGAGCTGGACTGGAAGAGGGGCAACCGGACAGAATCCGGTGCTCCAACCGGGACTAGAATCCGGTGTGCCGGCGCCGCTAGGTGGAGGATTAGCCTAGTGAGCCATGGCGCCAGCCTAAATAAGTCTATTTTATCCATTTCCCAAGAATAAGACTCCTTTGATGTGAAATGGACTCCTTTTTCATTCATGAGGAACTACAAAAGAGAAAAAATTAGGTTCTGTTTTATAATACATATGATTTCATTTAAAGTGGTTCAGGGGCCGGCACTATGGTGCAGTAGGTTAATCCTCCACCTGTGGCACCCGCATCCCATATTAGCACCGGTTCTAGTACCGCTGCTCCTCTTCCGGTAGGAAGGTGGGAGACCTGGAAAACCTCCTGGCTCCCAGCTTCAGATCCACCCAGTTCTGGCTGTTGCAGCCATCTGGGGAGTGAACCAGCAGATGGAAGACATTTCACTCTAACTCTCCCTCTCACTTTCTGTAAATCTACCTCTCAAATAAATAAAAATAAAATCTTTTTTAAAAATAAAAAAATAAAGGTAGTTCATGTTGTGTGTTCACTCAGAGGCGTGTGCATCTCCTGTCGTGGGCTTGCGCTGAGGGAGTGAGGGTTTGCATTGTCGGAGTGAGTAGCTGTTGTGACAGCAGCCGGCACAGTCTGTGCTGAGGGTGCTGAATATCTTCAATCAAAGAAATTAACAAAGCTCAGGAATCTTTTAAAAAGTTTTTTTTTTTAATTAAAGATTTGTTTGTTTATTCAGAAGTCCTTAGAGTTACACAGAGAGAGGAGAGGCAGAGAGAGAGAGAGAGGTCTTCCATCCTCTGGTTCACTCCCCAGTTGGCCGCAATGGCCGGAGCTGCGCTGATCCGAAGCCAGGAGCCAGGAGCTTCTTTCGGGTCTCCCACATGGGTGCAGGGGCCCATGGACTTGGACCATGTTCTGCTTTCCCAGGCCATAGCAGAGAGCTGGATTGGAGGTGGAGCATCCAGGTCTCTACCAGCGCCCATATGGGATGCTGGCGCTTCAGGCCAGGGCGTTAACCTGCTGCTCCACAGTGCCAGCCCCTTATATAATATTTTAAAAGCAGAGTTTAATATACAGACGGGGAGATAAAGAGATCTTCTATCCACTAGTTCACTCCCCAGATGGCCACAAAGCCCACAGCTGTGCCAGGTCAAATCCAGGAACCTGGAACTCCATCCAGGTCTCCCACAAATGTGCCAGGGACCCAAGCACTTGGGTCATCGTCCCTTGCTTTCTTAGGGACATTAGCAGGGAAGTAGATCAGAAATGGGGCAGTCAGGACTCCAAACCAGTACTCATATGCAATGCTGGTATTGCAAAATAGTGACTTAAGCTGCCGAGCCATGCCGCCAGTCTCAGTCATCTGTGTTTTTAATTTTTCAGTATGCACACATCACTAATTGCTTGCAGATGTATGGATCACTAGCATATTTGAGAACACTGTAAATAATTTCTGACTGGTAAGCAAATGGCACAACAGGATGCTTTGGTGATATTTCAGAAGTGACTCCGTACCTCTAGTTCAGGGCTGCGTGCCTTGTCAGAATTTGAGACCCTCAAATGCGGATGCTTTGAAAGCAAGATTCTGAAGCCTTTTAGTCTTTGTCCTTCCATCTTGAAGGCTGTTACTAACACATCTTTTCTTTTGGAATCCCTGGTCCCTGCCCCAGCCCTGGTGGGCTAGAGTGAGCAGGTAGCTTTTGTGGCAAAGCCTGGAGCAGTGTCATGGCTGCCCGGCTGCCCGTCCTGGGCACTGGTGGTGGCTTCGGGCGGCTGTACAACAGGTTGAAGAGAGGGCTGTCTGGCATCCCCACGGGGCAACCTTCCCAGAGCTGGCTCAGACCTTTCAGGTGGAAACCCAAGCTTCTGCCACATTAAACCTGCCCTGGGTGAGATGGTTGTCGTCACTTTTAGAATTCCTGTCTTTTAAGATAATTCTAGCCCATTCCTGTAGCAAAAGAACACTAACTACACTAACAGTCAGCTAATACTAACACTCCGTGAGTTCTCAAGTGGTGCCAGGCTTGTTCCCCATCTCTAATTTAATGTTCAAATCGGAGTAAGGCTTGTGTTATCCTGACCTCAACATGTGAGGGCTGTGAGCAGAGACTCAGTAACCTGGTGAGAGGCCCCCTCGCTGCAGCCATCTGTGGACAGTAGCTAAGAGGAAACCCTTCCCGACCCCTTTCCTCCTGCATTCTGAAAGGAGGGAAATCTGGTCCTCAGACCGCCCAAGGCTGGCTAGGCACTTCGTTTACTTGTGTAGACACTGGTTGGGTCACCTCCATCTTCTATCTAAGCCCTTGGGTTTAAGTCCCCGTTTCACTTCCAATTCCAGCTTCCTGCTCGTGTGTGCCCTGGGAGGCAGCAGGTGATGGTTGAAATGCTTGGGTCCCTGCCACCCACAGGGGAGACCTGAATTGAGTTCTAGGATCCTGGCTTTGTCCTGGCCCAGTCTTAGTTGTTGTAGGCATTAGCAGACTGATCCATTGAATAGAAAGTGTGTGTGTGTCTTGAGAGAGAGAGGGTGAGAGAGAGAGAGAGACTGTGTCTGCTTTTCAAATAGTATTTTTAAAGAAATGTTATCATTGAGCGTTTCCCTGGCTAAGGATATGATTTTCCTAAAGCTTGCATTCTATTGACAGAGAGACAGGAAGCAGCATCATGTATGCGTAGGCCAGTGCCCTGAAGGAGAGTGAACGGGGAATGGAGGCTGTGTCAGGCTCAGGTGCTGCCTGGCTGTGCTGGTCCCAAGGGCCTGTCCACCATGGCAACCTCAGAGCGTCTGAGCACAGTTGAAGGACGTGAGGAAGCCAGCGGGATAAATATTTGTGGGAGGAGGCAGTGAATGCCTTGGCCTGTACTCTTCCTGTGTGGTGTGCAGGAGTATCATCACGTGGCTGAGAGCAGCAGCATGGGGAAGCTGGCCCGGGATGCCACAACGTACAGTGAGAATCTAGAAGGCCTTGTCCCATAGGAAGAGTCCAAGCCCGAGACTCTTAAAATAGGTCCCATTTAGGTACACCTTGCTGCTTTGGGTTCAGTTCTCTCTGGAATAAAACTCTGGGGGTCTGGTGCGAGGCAAGTGTTATCTGCAGGATGATGAGACTTCCGGGGAGTCCTGGACCCCTCCCTGGTCAGCCCAGGTGACTCTTGAACAGGGGGCTGCAGCTTTCCTGTTGAGACGCCGGCTGTTGCTGCTGACCCCCTGTGTCCTCCACTCTTCACTCTATCCACAGATGAGCAACCTGGAGAGTCTTCTGTGAAGGAGCCTTCTTCAGCGCTGACAGTAAGAGCGAGGCAGTGCACGGGCCTGTGGTTTTCTGCCACGTCCCTGGTTCTCCTATTCCTCGCCTGAGCAGGCCACAAGGACTGGGCTCAAGGAAGATGAGCTCAGGGTTGCTCCTCTGGGCAGAGATGCACCTGCTGCAGTGGTGAATGTTGGAAATGAAGAGTCATAGCCAACCAGAAGTCTGCCTCAGACCATGGTGGGATCCCTGAAAATGATCAAGCGGCCATTGAAACTGGGTGTAGGTGTTGAAAAAGTGGGTGATTAGGGGCTGGCACTGTGGTGTAGTAGGCTAAACCTCTGCATGCATCACTGGCATCCCATATGGGCACTGGTTCTAGTCCTGGCGGCTCCTCTTCCAATCCAGCTCTCTGCAGTGGAGGATGGTTCAAGTGCTCAGGCCCCTGTACCCTGGTGGAAGACCCAGAGGAAGCTCCTGGCTCCTGGCTTTAGATCAGCCCAGCTCCAGCTGTTATGGCCATCTGGGGAGTTAACCAGCAGATGGAAGACCTTTCTCTCTGTCTCTCACTGTCTATAACACTATCTCTCAAATAAATAAATAAATAAATAAATAAATTATTTATTAAAAAGAGAGAGAGAATGGGTGATTCACCCAGGGATTTGTTTGTGCCAGGGCTGATGGACATTGTGGTTTACAGAGTTGGGGGAGAGCACCTCACCTGAAGAGCAATTCAGTTCCAGGTGCAAATTCAGTTTCCAAAATATCCTTCCAGAATCGCTGAGGGGACATCAGCAGTTTAGATTTCCTAACATAATCTGTGTATATCCCATGTGTTTGTTCTAAAAATTGTTTTTGAAAATGTTTATGCCATCATAGAAGTTCAGCTGTCTTCTTATTGTTTGGAATTGAGTGAAATTCAATCTGACCATGAACATCATATTTCTGAAATTATCAGCATCTTTCGATTATAAAATACAATCACATAATTTGTTTTAAGAAAGCAATAGTTCCACGTATCAGGCTTACCCATGTTCCTCACCCCAGGAACACACTGAACACATGACCCGTCCCCAACCTGCCCCCAGCTATTGTCCAGGGAGTTTTTATAAGTAACTGTGGATACAGAAAATATAATAACCACCGTAAATGTTTTCCACTGAAAAATAACTCCCCATATTGGCAACATGGGATGGAATCAGTCATGCTCGCACGTGTCTTACTCTCTGGGGTCACTTCCCTTGGTGACAATGGAGTCTCCTTGGTAATCTCCAGTGAACTGAAAAGCATAAATGCTCTTAGGACTGCATCAGAGTTCTCACAATGCAGCCAGAGGATGGAGCCGGAGGGAGCTGCTCACCGTGTGCAGACCGAGCAGAGGTTGGACATGAGCAGGGAAGCTGTCCTCAGGTGTCCTGGGGCAATGGCCAGGCTAAGGTAGGATGTCTGTCCTGTCTGATGTGTTCAGTTCTCACCTCTCTCCTTGGTTCAAGTCTCCCCCATCTCCGGTCCCCGCCCTCCATAGGAAAACGTTTCCTTGGACATGGACCTGAGGAATTTCAAGTTCAGTCCTACAGCTGCTTTACAGAGGAGCCGGAGCCAAAGCTTTCACTAAGCTCCATGTGGTGTTTGAAGAATACTTAGCATAGAAGGTGAATGTGTGGAAAACCGCACAAATTCTGGGAGGGATTCTCAGGGGACTGAAGCCACGCGTGTCATACAGTTCCTGCTGTGGGATGATAGTGGATGGTCCCCTCAGAGACTCAACGCTGGAGCTTCATCCCCTTGCAAGGTGGAAGCAGTGGAAACCAGAGCTGACCAGGGCCTGTGGCAGGTATCAGGAACAGATGAGGCCTTCAAGGCAGGGGCCCCGTTTATTATTCTAAAACCCACTGTTCTCTATAATAACAGAGACCAGAGGACACCCACCTGCTCTCCTGTCTCCAGCGACGAGATGACCTGCACCAAGAAGGCTACCACCAGACATAAACATAAACCTTTTTCTGTATCACTTCCGTGGCCTGCAGTAGTAGCTTAGCAGCATGGGAAAGTAGACTCAGATATCTCGTTGTGCCCAGACAAAGAGCAGGTAATTAGTCCGAAAGTCTGCTGTCGGTGCCCATTCAGCCTTCTCCCATGCTTTGGAGAAGAATGGAGTTGGTGCCACACAGGGTACAGGAGTTGCTTTCGGCTGCAGGGCTTGTGCTGGAAGATGCTGGGACATCCAGCCCCCCCCCATCCCCGTGCAGATGCAAGGGGCCTCAGCCTCCGGGGCACACCCCTCTGAAAGGTGTGAAAATGACTCCATTGCCAGTTGCTTTGGGAAGAAGCGAAGGGAAGGTGTCACGAAGGCTGGCACCAACACTGCTTGCTCCCTGTTGTGACAGCTGGTAATTGATGGTAACGACATGACATGTTATTTCCACCTGTAGGATATTTCTAAGTCCTCTAAGATGCTGCATATGGGGATGCCTGCTGTTTGCCAGAAGTTACTGCAGAATGGGAAGAATGCAGTGTGAGTGAGAAGCTGTTACCCACCCCCTCCCCCACAAAGCCTTCTCTCAACCACTGTGCCACATGCCTGCAGCAGGAGAATTTTTTTTTTTAATTTTAAATTCTATTTTGTGTATTTGCAAGGCAATTCAGGATGTAGACAGAGTGCTCTCATCTGCTGATTCACTTCCCCCAGGCTCACAATGCTCAGGCCTGGACCAGACCCAATCCAAGAGCAAGGAGCTCATTTTGCATCTCCTGTGTGGTTGGCAGGGACCCAAGTACTTGAGACATCACTTACTGCCTCCCAGGGTGTGCATCTGTAGGACGCTGGGATCAGTATGGGATCTTGTACCTGAATCCCGGCACTCTGGCTTGGGATGCAGGTGTTCCAAGTGGCATGTGAACCACTGTCTGCCCCCGGAGAGGATCTTATTATTAGCAATGTCTGTAAATGACTGAAACTCTGTGAAGGCACTGTTGTACTCCACATCTGCTTTTCTAAGATTTTATTTATTTGAGATGTAGAGTTACAGACAGAGAGAGGGAAAGACAAAGAGAGAGGTCTTCTGTCCACTGGTTCACTCCCCAAATGGCCGCAATGGCTGGAGCTGCACTGATCCGAAGCCAGGAGACAGGAGCTTCTTCTGGGTTTCCCATGCAGATGCAGGGGCCCAAGCACTTGGGTCATCTTCTCCTGCTTTCCCAGGCCATAGCAGAGAGCTGGACTGGAAGAGGAGCAGCCGTGACTTGAACCAGTGCCCATATGGGATGCTGGCACTGCAGGTAGAGGCTTAGCCCACTATGCCACAGTGCTGGCCTCAATTTTGTTCTTTTTCCCCTTTATTTTCTCACCTGTTTTTAGATGGAGTGGAGACTTGTGAGGATAAAAGGAAAAATACAGTGAAAGTGGCACAGGAAGAATTTCTCCATGTGGAGTTGGAGGCCACAAAGAGTAGAGCTTTCTGGCAATTGCAGCTGCTGTCTGGAATGTGCACCTTGTCCACATCCCCTCCGTGACCATGGGTGTCTCTGACAGCCAATGGATAAGACAATGGCATTGTGCCCAGAGGCTTCTGATGTGACTTGAGAGCTTATCAGACTTTAATTCTGTGGGCGGTGTGTTTGTTTATACATTCTTCGCTTTAAAGCTCCCACTTTGGAGCACCGATTTTTCGATTTTTCAGCAGTAGAACCTGAGACTCCTGACTTGCAATTCTCAAGATCCCAATGAAGTCCTCTGACTTTCACCATTTCTGAGTTGCAAATGATGGGCGGACTGAATCCTCATTAACAACACTTGTTGATTACCTTTGCTTTGGAAGCTGGGGAGACAGTGGATAAAAATTGCCTTGGCTACCCCGGAAGTGAAGATGAGTGATACTGATGATGTCTGAGAGAGCACAGAAGATGTTTCTTTCTACAGATTTGGCATGGTGCAGAAGAAGCAAGAAAAGGAGTAGGGCAATGCCACAGCTCAGCATTCGTTACAGCCACCTAGAATATGTCATCTCTGTTGAAGTCCAAAGTGTGGTCAATAATCAGCAGGAAATTGGTTTAGTCATTTACTGGGACCAGACTGGGTCTTTGGGACCAGCCAGTGTTGGCCACAGCATGTGATAGTTATTTATAAATTTGGTTTGGAGAATTAGGCCAATGTAGCAGTCAGCCGTGGGCTGCCATCATCCTGGTAATTATGGAAGATTGATGCAGTCCCAAGAAGTCTTATTTTCCCAGATGTCATGGTAGACAGTTTTGTGAGTGTTGGGAAATTCTTAACCTAACTTGAAGTTCTTCTCTTTCCATCCACCACATGGGCTTGTGGTGACAATGAAAGGAGGTAGTGCATGTCCAGTGCAAGGCATGTTATAAGGCTCAATAAGGGCCCAATTCTGTCACTGTAGTACTCTACTGGTACACGCTGCCTGCTGGTGCTGAAGCAGTGTTTGGTGAGGCCGCTGAGTGACACCAGTGAACCTCAAGTGGCAGAGAGGGCATGGACAAAGCAGAGCCCAATGAGTGGAGGGAGTTATTTGTGATCTGAGTCCACAAAACCACAGGGATTCAGCATTAACCATTAGTTGCTGCTTTCTGTGCAACTGGTCTACCTGAACTCACACCAGTTCAGATTTACAGTATTTTCATACCCCGGCTGATCATCATCATGTTCCTTCTCTGAATTAGTAAGAGGTTTTATTTGGAATTCTACTTAAGAGGTTACTTAAAGAATATGAAAGTGTGCAAATGCCCAAAAGTCGTGGCATTATCATCTCTCTGGAGTTTTTGCAGACCTGTTGGGCGAGCTTTCTGGGCCCTCAGCAGGTTTTCCGTGAGGCCACTGTAGTTTTCTACCCTTTACTCCATGGCTGCCGAGGCCTGCATCGATCCACAGGAAGGTGGTTGTCTGTGCACCCTCACAGGGGTCTCTGCATCTTGCTGGGCGGTCCAGCCAGACCTTCAGGTGGGCCGTCACGTTTCACCTGCCTCATACTACATCCTTGTCACCTTGGGATCGTGGACCACAAGGGGGCCAGAACCAAGCCCCTCCATACGGCCTTGGATGCAGATGCTAGCCACCCCAGTCTCCCAGCCTCCCTCTCTTACCTTAAAGCTTCCTTGCCCTGCTCTTATGAGTGCAAATCAACCACTTAGTAACATCATTAACTCGCTGAAATGAGGGAGTGGGCAGCTGGCCCTACAAGGTCCCTTAGTCACTAGACTCATGGGGGCATCCATTTCCCTAAAGACGACACCTTGGTGCTTAGGGAATTTCTTTTCCAGGAATCTCCACCCCAGGCACAAAGTAACTCCCACTGCATGCAGCCCCAGCCTGACTGGCATCCACTTTGCCATCAGCAACGTGTGCCAACACAACATTGCCCACTTGCCAAAGAAGGGGCCCGACCACACTTGGGCACCTGAGCTTGGTTGGACCTGCACCTCTCAGCCCCAACTTCATTCTAGCAGAACCTTTGCCCCTGACCCCTCAGAGGGCCCCAGAACTGACTGATGGGTCCCTGGCTTCTTGCTCAGTCCTGTGTGGGAAACACATCCATTCTTCCACCACTTCCTATCAGTGGATGGCTTGCTGTGTGTGTGGCCATTGGACCCAGTTTTAGGGTGTTCTGTACCAGGAAGGATTCCTCACTGACACTCTTGGTGGTTCCTTGTTTCTGCTGTTGCCATGTGGTTTTAGACACTTGCTCCAGAGGATAATAGGCCCCATTCGGCATCGTGTGTATGAGGATCAACATTATGGAGATGTTTTGTGTATCTTTATGAAACCTCAAGTTATGGATGAGGGCAGAAAAATAAACCTGCCTCTGATGTGCTTGTGTGTCTTCTGTTTCACTGTTTGGCTATGAATCATTTTTTTCTCATGCCTCCAATTCCTTGATGGTTACCGCCTTGGCTGTTTCAGCCACAGTGGCTTCGATGCCAGCTCTCTGCTGTCTGGATTGGTGGCAAATAAGTGTAAACCCCTTTGAAGTAGTTGACCCAGCTGCTCACGCACCAACTCTTGGGCAAATCCTCCCTGCCCTTGTTTCCCCCCTCATCACTCTCCCTTTGTTAGATGGTGTGGTTTTTCTTTAAAACCAGCAGGTTCATTTGCGCTCCACATATATGCCTCTGTCTTGTGATAAGAACAACATTCTTTTTTTTTTTTAAAGATTTTATTTATTTATTTGAGAGGTAGAGTTACAGACAATGAGAGGGAGAGACAGAGAGAAAGATCTTCTTTCCGCTGGTTCACTCCCCAAATGGCCGGCACTGCGCCAATCCAAAGCCTGGAGCTAGGTGCCTCTTTCTGGTCTCCCATGTGGGTGCAGGGGCCCAAGCACTTGGGCCATCCTCCACTGCCTTCCCGGGCCACAGCAGAGAGCTGGACTGGAAGAGGAGCAAATGGGACTAGAACCACGCACCCATAAGGGATGTCGGCGCCGCAGGCGGAGGATTAACCAGGTGAGCCATGGCACTGGTCCCAAGAACAACATTCTGATGAGGTGTCCCAAGTTCAGATCCAGGGCCACAGGGTGAGGGCCCAGGGGGGATGAGTGCATGGATCAATTAAGGAGCTACAGGATGGGAAGAACAAATCTCCAAGCATTGCTCAATCTCTGTCAAAATCTTAAATTGAATTCCCATGTGATCTCCTAGGCCAGCAGATCCTACCTGGAACCCAAAACTGTCCAGGGAAAAGTGTACTTCCAGGAGATCGACCTCTCCTCCCAAGTCCTGCCCACTATTTTAGTGTTACCTGTTTTCACCTGTAGCCAGTGTAAACTCCTTGTAAAGAACTTATACCTTACCCAATTTGTTTTTCCTTTTTGTTTTAAAGATTCATCCATTTATTAGCAAAGCAGAGTGACAGACGATGGGAGAGGCAGACAAATCTTCCGTCTGCTGTTTCCAAACCTGCAACAACCAAGTGTAGGGCCTGTGTGAAGTCAAGATCCGGTACCTGCTTCCAAGTACACGGGTCACCAGCTCCTGCTTCCCGGGTACATCAGCAGCAAGCTGGATCAGAGTATGGAGAGCAGCCTTGACTCCGGCCCCGTACTCAGTCTGGGTTGTGGGCATCCCAGTTGTCGCTTAACCCACTGTACCGTAATGCCTGCTACCCATTCTCCAAATCTTTGACAGAAAAAAATGGTGTTCCTCTTCCACAGAGGACATTTTCTAAGTGGCTGCTTGCCTTCCTGTTGATAACTTTGGGAACTTGTCCCAGTACCTGACCTTCATTTGTAGCACTTACGGTGGCTTAATAAGCACTTTACTTCCTAGATCTCCTATCTCAAGAGCACTTGTTTAACACTTGGAAGGGGATTTTTGTGCATATTATCATCTTGCTTGCTCATTTCATTGTATCACTACAGAGGGAAAGGTTCATCCCAGGCTTTTTTTTTTTTTTTTTTTTGTGGAAGCCCCTTTTCACTCCATTCTCCAAAACCACGTGAAACTTGCTAGAATGAGTCGCTTGTGTCACATATGTATTTTCAAAAAGGTGAAACCAGGCAGTCATAAAACACAGGATCTCCCACTTGATTACACGATAATAGCTATTACAAGAGACATATAGTAACTCTCGTAAGACAGCCAGAACTGCAGTAAACACAAGCCCCTACAACCTTATTAAAAAGTACCTTAGGGCCTGCGCTTTGGTATAGATGGCCAAGCCTCTGCCTGTAGTACCAGCATCGCATATGGGCATGCCGGTTTGTATCCCGGCTGCTCCTCTTCTGATCCAGCTCTCTGCTGTGGCCTGGGAAAGCAGTAGAAGATGGCCCAAGGGTTTGGGCCCCTGCACCCACGAGGGAGACCTGGAAGAAGCGCCTGGCTCCTGGCTTCAGATCATCCCAGCTCTGGCCGTTATGGCCACTGGGGGAGTGGAGCAGCGTACAGAAAACCTGTAACTCTACCTCTCAAATAAATAAAAAAATAAAAATAAAAAGTACCTCTACAGTGACATTGACCTAACAAGTGTTTAACCTTGGACTAACGTCACCTTTGTTAGTAAACACTGTGACCAAAGATGACTGTTTCAAAACATCTGATGTAATCTTGTTTTGCCTTTGCCTTGTGTGTGTGTTCCTGTCGGCTGCTCTGCCGTTCCAAAGTAAACACAGCAGAGGATCCTGCTGACCTGTCATTTATCTAGGTTGACTGTGGACATTGTGTTTCCTGATTTTCCAAGGTTCCCTCCTGTGAATGGTGGCTTTCAGCCATGGACCTGGCCCCTGGCTCAGTGTTTGAACTGTAATTTGATGGTGTGCCCCCACTGCCTCCTTCAGGGCCTGGGGCCTGCTGGGTCACCATCGATGCTTCTGCTCAAAGTGTGCATTCTCAGGAAACGGGCGCTCTGGCCTCCCTGCCTAGATACCCTGGCGGGAGGAGGGCTAACAGCAGCTCTGCACCTGCTGCTCCTGGAACAGAGTCCCTCAGTCCTTGGCCCTGTGTTCCAGGTTCCTTCTGTTTCTCAGCTGGGGCCTCCAGCTCCACCCCAGAGCCCTCCTGTGGATTCTGGGTGTGTTCACCCTGATCATGATGTAAAAATCCCCAGTCAACCACCTTTATTCTGCAGAGGTCCACTGAGGCTGTTTGCTCTAACTTCTGGCTCGCCTTACATTTTCAGGAGGACGAATCATCCACTTTATAGCAGTGTTTTCAAGATAGCTTAGAAACCTCAATGACACAACTGAACTAGTGAGTATAAAGTGTATACTTTAAACCGGAGAAAATGTAACTGCCCAGCATAAGGAGCTGTCCTATGGCGACAGCCGTTTCAGTTAACACTTTTTTCCCTTTATGGCCACATTGGGCAGGGCCCAGAGTTCCCTAACTTCTTCATTCTGACCTGTGTCCCTTCTCTGTGGGATGTTCCCATGTTTGTACTTTGTTGCCACCTATTGCATGTTATTACTCAAGAAATTACCAGGCTGATCCGCCTCCTGGGAATTTATCCAAAGGAGATGAAATCAGCATATGAAAGACTGAACTGTACCCCCATGTTCATTTCAGCTCAATTTACAATAGAAAAATAATGGAATCAACCCAGATGTCCATCAACTGAAGACTGGATAAAGAACTTATGGTATATATATACACTAATGGAATACTACACAGCAGTAAAAAAAAAAAGAAATGCTGTCATTTGCAACAAAATGGATGTAACTGGAAATCATTATACTTATTGAAATAAGCCAGTCACAAAAGGACAAATAATGTATGGTCTCTCTGATCTGTGGTAACTACTAGAGTGTCTGAAAGGTAATCTATAGGAGTGAAACTGGCACTGTGAGATGCGATGATTTTGAATAGCCCTTGCCTTGACTGTCGAGAAACAATGTTTTTCTTGTTTGTTTTTGTCCTTTTTTTCCCTCTTCATACTATTCAATGAACTCTCTACTTAGTGTAGGGTTAAACTTATGAGCATAAAATTAACTGAAAATTGATTTCTGTGAAAAATAAGAATGGGAAAGGGAGAGGGAGGAGAAAGAAGGGTGGGAGTATGGGTGGGAGGGAGGTGTGGTAGGAGGGAGACTCACCATGTTCCCACATTTGTATATGTTAAATGCATGAAGTTTGTATTCCTAAAATAAAATAAATTAAATTACCAGGCTAGCATTGTGGCATAGCAAGTAAAGCCGCAGCCTGCAGCACCAGCATCCCACTTGGGTGCCAGTTTGAGTCCTGACGGCTCCACTTTCAGTCCAGCTCCCTGATAATGCACCTGGGAAAGCAGTGGTGGATAAATGGTCCAAGTGCCTGGGCCCTTCCACCCACGCAGGAGACCAAATGAAACTCCTGGCCCATTGCAGCCATTTGGGGGAGAGAACCAGTGGATGGAAAATGTTTCTCCCTGCCTTTCCCTCTCTGTAAATCTGCCTTTCAAATACATGTTTTTTTTTTTTTAATTCAGAAAAATGGAATTAAATGATTAGTTTACTTAAAAAAGAAACAAAGAAATTCCCACATGATGTCCTGAGTTCTTACATAGCATTTGGAAGCCGAGCCTTTCTTACTCTATTTTGTAAATTCACCTACAGTTTCTTAGAAGCTTCTCCACTTGGAGAATACATGTATTTTTCATCCAACCAGACGAGAGGCATGGTGATCGTGAGGTCTTGTCCTCTGCTTTTCCCCCCATAACTGGCATTTTTTTTTTTACAGGCAGAGTGGACAGTGTGAGAGAGAGAGACAAAGGTCTTCCTTTGCTGTTGGTTCACCCTCCAATGGCCGCCGCGGCCGGCACGCTGCGGCCGGTGCATTGCGCTAATCCGAAGCCAGGAGCCAGGTGCTTCTCCTGGTCTCCCATGGGGTGCAGGGCCCAAGCACTTGGGCCATCCTCCACTGCACTCCCTGGCCACGGCAGAGAGCTGGCCTGGAAGAGGGGCAACCGGGACAGAATCCGGAGACCCGACTGGGATTAGAACCCGGTGTGTCGGCGCCACAAGGCGGAGGATTAGCCTATTGAGTCGCGGCGCCGGCCCCATAACTGGCATTTTTAAGGACTTGCTCATTGAATTCAGTTTCTTTAGAGTCTTGGCATGGAAGCAACCATGGCTGTGACTTGTGAGGTATCACCGAGAAACCAGGTCAGAAGTTTTAAAGACCTGAGAAATAGACTACAATTGGGATTGCAGTGTTTCAGAACCAGAGAGAATTGTCAGAATCATCTTTTTTCTTCTCCCTCATCATATTTGGAAAGAAACCCAAGCCCAGACATGTGAGTGATTTTCTCAAAGTCACGGGTGATAAAAGACCCAGGTGTGGGGTTAGATTCTAGATCTCCCAGCTTGCTAGCAGAAACATCCTTGTGCCAAAAACAAA